CCTGGTGCCTGAGAGGAGGTTTGATCACGTCAACATTGACCTGGTTGGTCCGTTGCCTTCCTCTCAGGGATTTTCCTACCTCCTCACCATGGTGGACAGGACGACCCGTTGGCCGGAGGCGGTTCCGCTCGTTTCGACATCAGCCGCAGACGTTGCCCGGGCCTTCATTGCAACGTGGGTGTGTCGTTTTGGCACCCCGTCAGACATTTCCTCAGACAGGGGCTCTCAGTTCACGTCCGAGCTCTGGAACGCTGTGGCAGGCGGTTTGGGGGTTAAGCTGCACAGGACTACCGCTTACCACCCTCAGGCTAACGGTCTCTGCGAGCGCTTTCATCGCTCCATGAAGGCGGCCCTCAAGGCCGGCCTTACGGACGGTAACTGGGTCGACAAGCTGCCCTGGGTGATGCTGGGCCTGAGGACCGCACCTAAGGAAGATCTGCAGTGTTCTACAGCGGAGATGGTCTACGGTCAGCCGCTGAGAGTTCCGGGGGATTTCCTCCCAAATGCATCGGCTCCCTGGTCGGCGTCGGCCCAGCGGGCTTTCCTGCGTAACGCCGCTGAGGCCTTTGTTCCGATCCCTACTACTCAGCACGGTACTCAGGTGTCCCAGGTTCCCGCAGAGCTCCGCTCGGCGGAGCACGTGTTCATCCGGCACGATGCGCACAGAGGCCCCCTGCAGCCCCCTTATGATGGGCCTTTCCGGGTCTTGGAGCACGGGGACAAGCACCTGGTGGTCGACCTGGGTGGCAAGGCCGAGCACGTCTCGGTGGACCGGGTGAAGGCTGCTCACCTGGACTTGGACCAGCCTGTGGTGCTGGCTCGACCTCCGCGACGGGGCCGCCCCCCGGCCTCGTCCCCTGTCACGGATTTAAGACCTGTTGTTCCGGTCCCTCCCCTTCCGGGGGGGGCCGCACAGGCGGGAGTCACTTTTCCGACTCCCGTGCTCAGGAGTCGTGGGGGTCGGCGTGTCGTTCCTCCCCGCCATGCTGATTTTGTTTATGTGTGAATTCTGGGGGGGCTTGTGTGGTGACACGTTATTGGACATAATTCACCTTGCTTATTGTGTTGCCACACGGACCCTTTAGTGGGGAACACCTGTAGCTTTAGCTGCCATTCCTGCTAGCTCATGTGTTAACCTCTCTGAAGTAATGGATAATAAAGATTGGAACTCCATTCTTAATACACCGCCTCCGACTCTCTTTTCACGGCACTACAATATGTTCATTTTCATTAATTTCTTACTGTAACTGACCGCTACGTTATTTTAATATGCATGGTTAGGGGCGGGCGTAGGTATGGGTGTGACGCTGCGAACCCCGAAATCATAACTGATTTAAACTGTTCCCAGGCAACGAGGTCTAGCCTGTGCTACGGACCTCTCAAACAATGTAAGTTACTGAATTGCCACGAACATTGTGTTATATAATCGGTTTATATAGGTTTTAATTGAAACTGTGTGTCTTGTTCCTTGGCTCAACTGTTCATAGTGCCAAGTGATATATTAAGATAAGGACTGCCATGCCTGGCGTCGCACATATTGCACCCTCGGTGAGCGGAGCGAGGTACGTTACAGGGACTGTATTACAAGTGTTTGTTTGATCCGCAGTGTTGGGACTAACGCGTTACAAGTAACGCCGTTATTTTTGGCAGTAACTAGTACTCTAACGCATTACTTTTTAAATTCAGTAACTCAGTTACCGTTACTACATGGTGCGTTACTCCGTTAGTTTTTTATATAGTCAACAGCCAGGCGAACAGAGATGAGAACTGTACTTAAGTACAGTACTTGAGTAAATGTACTTTGATACTTTCTGTGTCACATGCGGAGACGGGCTGTGGGCGTGTTTGTGTTGTTTACTTACAAGACCATCATGGCGGCGGCGGAGCTCAAGTCTAGTTTCTCCACCTGGAGATATTCTCACAATTTCACTTTTGTCGAGCACAAAGAAAAGAACGTTTTAGTTAAATGTAAGTTGTGTCTTGGCGGGTCAAAGATTCTATCTACTGCCCAAACCAGTAATTCAAATCTCTTAAAACATCTGCAAAAACAACATGCTGGGACGAAGCTAGTAGCTAAGACCACAGAGATTCAGCCTACACCACTCCACCTCCACCTAACCAACAGCGGCTGGATTTTAACCAAGGGACTGCTAGCCAGGGAAAAGTCGATAAAGCCATTGCACGGTATGTTGTAGAACACATGCAGGCTATTGCTACAGTGGAGTCACCCGCTTTCAGGGAGCTAGTTAGCATGATAGCATGTCCGGGCGGCACACGGCATATGGGACGGAACACTTTTTCCAACTACCTGGAGAAAGAATATACAAAAATGGAAAGCCAGCTAATATCGATGCAATCCAGATTGCATATAATGCATGTCAAGTTGATCAACAGATTGTATTATTCTCCAATGCAATAACAGTACTGAAATGAAGGCTATAAGGGCATTAATGGGAGCCCTTTTTTCAAGTAACGAAAACGTTACTTTTGACATGAAGTAACTAGTAATGGTAACTAGTTACTGGTTTTCAGTAACTAGCACAACACTGTTGATCCGTGAATATATATTTGTGATTTAATCAATGATTTGTACTTGTTCTATGTCTGTATATATTTTAGTTTTCACGATGATTGAAAGACCATTAAAGAAACTGCATCCGTCGAGACTGCTGTGATTATTGCCGAGGGCAGCTACACTTAGCCTACTTCATAGTTTATATGACCCAATGTAGCTATGCTCATTTTTGTTTTGTATTCATTTCTTATTTCATAGTTTTTCATCATTTTTATTTGAATCTTTGATTTTATTAATCTGTGTGAATCTGTGCTGTCCTTTTTTTCATTCTTACCCTGTTGCTGTTTGAACTGCTGAATTTCCCCACGGGGATTAATAAAGGTCCATTTTATCTTAAAAGCGGTTACTTTTTTTTGGCTGGGCAGTGTCGTGTTACGTCTTATTTGACTTTCTCAGTAATTAAAACTGTTTTTTGGGGGCAGACCCCCACAAAGAAAAATAAATATATATACACACATAGCTACTGGTCATAATTTTAACAGTTTTTTATGATCATCCATTCCGTGAGCAGAGCATCAAGTTGGCATGCGGCGATTACCATGTTGTTCAGCTAAACGCCTCACAAACTTATTAAGATCCAAAGCTTTAGTGCGTTTTGATTCAATGCTGAGTAGCCTACAGCCAAACTTGACAGTCTCTTCTCTGTCATTGTAGACCGTAAATACCTCTTTCCTTGGGTCCGAATCGGTCCGAATGCTTCTCGTTTTGCGCCGTATACAGTCTATGGCGCCGTCCCGTTCAAATTAAATTGCCGTCAATCATATGTTTCCACGTTCGCGCCAGGGCCGGGGGAGGGGTTACAAGCTCGGGTCTTGTGCTGCATTATCTTGCACTCGGACATTAGAGATGTTCTCTCATAAATGTCCGATGAGCCACAACTTTTCTTTCAAAACAAAGCTGCCAACTGGGTTGGCAAGGCTATTTTTTACAGGAACAGGTATCTTAATTAGAAGTAGCCTAATATAGCATAAATATTAGTTTTGAGTACAAGTTCCCTAATAATGTTAAGTATTTCAGTATTATAATCTGTAATTACAATACTATGAATTCTGAGGGGGGGGGGTTTGGTTTATGTATTTGGGATTCACCTTGAACTTTCCTCATGTAAGAGTTTGCAGGTTTTTCCTGTGTCAATGCGGGTTTTCCCACCACAAATTGCACTAGTTGAGAATAAATGGCATTTTTTTAGTAACAGGTCAAATGTAAGATAACCACAAGAGGGCTCCATATTCTTTATAAAACATTTTCTAATTACTGTACATTGCATGCATCTGTGCATTTTCTACCCATACTGTGCAGTTGATAAAAAATAAAACAAACGTATTTACACATCATAAACATGGCCAATTTCAGCCTTACATCTCTTTGACACAAGGGGAATTTGTAAATAGCTTTCATCTAAAAATGATGAATTTCAATTGGTTTGTGAAGTGTTTCTGTGTCTTAGCACACAGTGCTTAAGTGGGTTGAAGTATTTGACCTTAATTCACCCTTCAGACAAAAGTTTGCATTTGTTAATCCTGAGTCTGCATGTGCTTTAAATTGAGAGGATGAAACATTTACATTGATCAGTGGATGTGACCGACAAAGCCTGCAGGAGAAGTTTCTAGTTTAAATCCAAGGCACAACAAAACACAGCCATGGGATCAATTTTTTTATTTTAAACTGTGATTATATGAGAATTTAGGTTGGACAAATGCAGGGTTTGTTTGGTGGGAGCCCAAAACAATGACAAGAGAAAAAACAATATACCAATTAATGGAATAACTTGATTGATCATGTATAAAATGTTTTACGTTTTGCAGATAATAACACATTAAGCACAGGATAATTGTATAACTGTACATTTTACATTCAAACAAATAAAAAATAGTTTAAAAGAATGAATCCCTGCTCTCTCCGCGTCATACAATATTATGATATATTGCTGAATTATTATAGCTGATGCTTTGAGTTGGATCAATATTGTCACAGTGAACAAACAATGTATTTGTGAAATAGTGGAGTTAAAAATACAGAGTTTATCTGGATTAGAAGTATAAAACAGCATAAATACTGGAGCAAAGTACATCTAAACAAAGTATTGACGTTTTGTTTTCAATATTCAGAGCTACTGTCACGCTATATTAGTGGAAATCTTTTTACTTGGAATCCCATTCCCTTTGTTTACAGCCAATAACAGTCCATCATCTTGGAGATAAATGACTTCCCATTAGTCAAATGTTTGTGTCTATCTTCAACGAGCTCCTTATCAATTGGCTACTTATTTACAGATAACAGATTCAAATTCAAAATGCCCCTTGTAGCCCCACTTGTGAACTCCTTGTGGGTGGCACCAATCTTTGTGGCACCAATCTGTAAGAAGCCTGGTGATTGGATACTGGACACGTCACTCAAAATATAGTCTGCTCTCATTGGTCGTAAGCCAAAACATGTACCCTAGAAGCCACGCCCCCTTTCATGCAGCACCCGTCGGAAGTTGGTGTGTGAAGTGGAGTTAAAAACGGGATGTTGAGGTAGCTTTTAAACTCTTCGACATTTCTTTGGACAGTTGTTATATTCTGTTGCAGACACAGAAGAACGGTAAGTCGTGGGTTTGAAAGGAATGACATATTGCTCACTTTAATGCAAGAAAAAAGGGGAGGTCCGAAGTTAGCTAGCTAGCTAGTTAGCATTTGTAATTATTAGTCATCACGTTTTAAATATCAATAAAATAAAAAAAACATTACAGTCTCTTACAATACATCGTGACATTTTGTTAAGCTTACTCTATTAAGATGTCAGTTTTGCTAATTATTGTTGTCAACTATTAAGTTGCCTGTACCTTTTATATCGTAGCATCGTCTAGCTAGCATCTTTGGCTTTATTTTATTTTATAGTAAATGATAAGTGATTGATAAGTATTTTGTACTTGGACGATCACCGAAGTTTTATGTATAATTATTTAGCGAAATGTCCGATTAAGAAAGCCAAGCGACAGTGAAATGTGCACCGATAGTATCTCGTCGCTATCTGAATAAATACAGAGAGGAACACACACTCGTGCTGTAGTAAGACGTTGGAGTTGTTTACATTCCCTGTCACGTTTTTCTGAATCAGAAATCCTCTATTAGTCCCACAGCTGGGAAATGTACAGTATCAAAGCAAAACATTGGCATAGCAGGTTTAAAAAAAGGCATGCAATAATAAAGAATAAGCTTATTGAATGTGGAGAAGACAAAATACACACATTAGTCATAATATAATATAAATAAAGACAATTAAGTACAAATCCATGGCTAAAAATCAGTGGTGTAAAGACACTAAGTACATATACTCAAGTACTGTCCTTAAGTACAATTTGAAGGTGCTTGTACTTTACTTGAGTATTTAAATGTTCTGTACTTTTGTACTTTTACTCCATTACATGTATTTAATACTTTTAGTTACTTTACATATCTGGATTAATGATGTGAAATATAATCAAGTGTTAAATCAGACTTTAATGATCAATCATTATAAAACGTATCATATATATTATTCTGAAATTGAACAATCTGCATACGAATACTTTTACTTTTTGTACTTTAAGTCTATTATGATGCCCAAACTTTTCTACTTTTACTTGAGTTAACATTTTTAATGCAGGACTTTTACTGTAACAAAGTATTACTACACTGTGGTACTTCTACTTTTACTCAAGTACAAGATCTGAGTACTTTTTCCACCTAGGAGCTTGACCTATGTCACTTAAAGAACTTAGTCACATAGATACTATGTTTTGAGACATTCTAAAAAATAAATGGGGACATTTATAACAATGTAACGGTGATTATTGCACAGTATTGCAAGGAGAATTGTCTATATGCACATTGCAGGTTCATTGCACAAGAGTGTCTGTATTGTGTAGGGGTCTACCAGGGGCCAGGGTGGTTATACAGTCTGACCGCTACAGTACACGGAGGCTCATGTGTTGCGTTGCCTGTCCTGTCTCTAGTCTACTGGGCAGTATGTTGGAGTGCGGCATGCAGGAGCAGGACAGACGGGCTCTGCAGAGAAACACTGCTGTCCTCTGCAAACAGCTGGTGGTGGACGAGCTGCTCATTCAGCTCCTACAGGCGGACAGCATCCTGACTGAGAGCATGGCCGAGGGCATCATGGTATGTGGACTCTGATATACAGGGTCCCTGCGGATCCTTGACCAGTCTTAAAAGGTCTGGAATTTTAGGAGGGGAGTTATTGAGTGTGATCTGGGGCAGAATGAAAGAGTGTGGGGGGGGCATTGGTCTCCATTGGTCTCCATTGGTCTCCATTGGTCTCCATTGGTCTCCATTGGTCTCCTGCAATACGGTTTCTTTTTTGTTAATGTGAAGGCAGTCATGTTGGGGTAATGTGCACTGAATATCTCCCGTTATTCTAATGCCATACAACTCAGTAACGGTTCACACTGTTGTCTAGTTCATCGATTTTTTTTTTATTAGTATTATCTTTTCCTTTTTGAAGTCTTAAAAAGCTCTTAAAAGCCATTACATTTGTACTTAAAAAAGGTGCAGATACCCTGATGTATGATTATTATTATGTATGCTATAAGCTGTCTATCTGTCAACAGGTGAATGTATGTAATTTCTTTTTATTTTGAAGCCAAATTCATATGACTTTGAGCCTGTTTAATGTACCTTTTGATAGCACTGGGTATTTCAAATGTAATTCCGTATTTATTCATCTCAAGATTGTGTAATTTTCTATTTTCTTACTGTGCTAGTTTGCACTTATAGACCATTTTTCTGTTTGCTTGTGTCTTTAGGCAATACGTTGTAGGTTAATAGTCATCTAAAAAAAATACTTGGCCCTAATTACAGCATCTTAAGAACATTCTTTCAGCTCAGCAGCAAAGGGCCTTTTCAATGATTGAAATACACTGCTTGAATAGCCTTCCCCTGGAGTCAATTGGATCAGTCACCTTCGGCTTACCTGTAACTTGATTTTAAGATACATCTGCTTAAGGGAAAGACTAAATACATTGCTTTCTCCGTGGCTTGTTATAGTGGTTTGATGGCCCCTCTAAACCTCCAGCGTTACAGTGTTTTCATTGTTTGTAATTGTTATGTTTTCTGGTCCGTCTCCTCTGCTGTAGGCCGAGCAAACATCTCAGAAGCGAAGCTTTCGTTTGCTCCTTCTCCTGCTGAAGCGAGGGCCCAGAGCCTTCAGCGTCTTCTGCTCAGCGCTGCAGGAAACTGAGCAGCAGCACCTGTATGACCTGATCAGACAATCAACAGAACAATATAGCAAGGAGACATCTGTAAAGGTGAGTGTGCACTTCATGGAACAGCCGAAAGCTCAAATATACTCAGTATTACCATACTGAGAGAAGAGAAGTGCAGTTTCTACACTGCTTTCTGCTCACAGGTTATTCAGCCTGAGGAAGAGCCAGAGGGAAGTGCAGTGCGACTAGTCATGTCTGAAAAGAAGAAAGAGGTGGTCAGTGTGCTTATAAACTTGTGACTAGGATCCTTGCAGTCATGTGTCACTCTTAGTATTTTCAAAAGACTTAGACAGAACAGAAGCTAAAGCCTAGAGAACTTTATGTCATTAAAAATCTGTCTTTTTTTTAACTGAGATTTCACATTTGTAAGCTAACAGTTAGAGAACGCCCAGTGCGAGCCGCGGATAGGAGCAGACAGATGTGAGAATCACAAACCACATCCATCTTGTGTCAGACAACAACCAGATGATGAGGTAGTCAGACCGCAGGCAGGAGGAGATTTAAGTCAGGAGTGTAGGTGACCATGACCGCAACAAGCAATCACTGCTGCCACAGAGAAGAGTAGCATCCTTCATTATAGCGCTAGGCATAATGGATCATATCTAACAATATTCCTGACTAAATACCTCAATATGGCTAAGATGTTGTACCGTTAAACATGTTTACACAATGAGATTGTGAAATCACTCTACTGTAATGCAGTGTAGTGTAGTAGTGTATCCGTCCTGTTTTATAAAAGAATGGAGTATAATCAATAAGTGTAATGTTAAGGTGTGCACAGTGTCAGCCCAGGTGCTGCAGCAGATGGGTGTATGTGAGAGCTAGTTCACACTGGGTTGAACAAGAATGTGTGTGTGTGTGTTTGTCAGGTGTGATTCACATGGGGGGATGGGCACATAAGGGGGGAAAACATCTAGTGTGTGTGTGTGTGTGTGTGTGTGTGTGTGTGTTTATGTGTGGCCTAGCATTACTTTACTTGTGGGGACCTAAATCTGTTTACACAGTCATGTGTGAGGACTCGCCGCCCTTATGGGGACAAAATGGAGGTCCCCATAAGGGGAATCATTAATTTTAGGGTGAAGACTTGGTTAGGGTTAGGGTTAGGATAAGTCTCCAGGAAATGCATGTAAGTCAATGTAATGGGGTGGTGTGTGTGTGTGTGTGTGTGTGTTGTGTGTGTGTGTGTGTGTGTGTGTGTGTGGTGTGTGTGTGTGTGTGGTGTGTGTGTGTGTGTGTGTGTGTGTGTGTGTGTGTTGTGTGTGTGGTGTGTGTGTGTGTGTGTGTGTGTGTGTGTGTGTGTGTGTGTGTGTGTGTGTGTGTGTGTGTGTGTGTGTGTGTGTGTGTGTGTGTGTGTGTGTGTGGTGTGTGTGTGTGTGTGTGTGTGTGTGTGTGTGTGTGTGTGTGTGTGTGTGTGTGTGTGTGTGTGTGTGTGTGTGTGTGGAGACAGCTGTATTTGCACACTGCACTCAACAGGGTTCTTATGGTCATTAAAAACCTGGAAAAGTCATGGAGATTCAAAATGCTAATTCCAGGCCCTGGCAAAACTTTGGAAAACAATATGTTTCCCAAAGTTTTGGAAAAGTCATGGAAATGTAACCAAAGTTGCATCAAATATAATTTATATTTTATCTAATCCCCGAAATAGTAATACTATAATGATAATAAATATAGTAATGAAACGTAAAATGGCATTTAACTGACGAGGTGTTTTGCTGGTGAGAGATTTGAGTTGCTTTAGCGTGTAGAAGCTAGCAAGCCTGCTATTAGATTTGTTTTAGATAGGCACGACATGTTTCAGACCTTACTTTCCTGTTCCATGTTCAAATAAACCATTTTCAGTGGCACCGCTGAGAGAGTCATGTTTTTGGTCCTGGGAAATTAAGTAAAGGTCATGAAGAAGTCATGGAAAATCATTGGAGAAAAAGTGTATGAACCCTGACTCAAACATTGTTTGTTCATCGTCCAGCCCAAACATGGATAATATAACCAGGAAAAGACACACAATTATGCCGTATTACGATCTTTACAATATCCCAAATCTAAAATGACATCAAGTCTTATCTTACGACATGGATGTGAAATTGAAATAAAGTGTTAATCAGCTATTGTAATGTTCTGATGTGTGCATGGTTTTGAATTTCAGAGGTCAGTGGACTCTTCTCTTCCACTTTCCACTCAAGAGGAGCCGAATGCCAAGAGAGCGAGGACACAGGGTGAGTGCGGCCTGCATTCAGGTTAAAATACTTCTCACTGTGTTCAATGTTGCTGTCAATATTGTTCTGTTTCCTTGGAGACAAGGGGGGGTGTCAGGAAAAACGGCTTTATCTGTTGTCTAGTTTAAATGTGCAGGGGATTGAACTTAGCTCAGCTCAAAGAGCTTTTCTAGCACGAAGCAGCAGCTACAAAGAGTTCTATCTGTGAACAGTGTTAAAGACAGTCTTCTTTCTGATATAGGTGTGTTATTACTCTATTGTTCAGCTACTGTCGGCACCTGCAAGCGCCACGCCCGAAGAGTGACTCATTCACAGCTCAGAGTTTATTGAGCACACGGTGATGTGAGCACCTGGCATCAGCAGTTATCTTGCAACACGCAGAGTTCAACTTTCTAACTGTGTGTGTGTGTCTCTCTGTGTGTGTCTCTGTGTGTGTGTGTGTGTGTGTGTGTGTGCATCTCTCTGTGTGTGTGTGTGTGTGTGTGTGTGTGTGTGTGTTGTGCAGAGTCCATGGAGCTGAGTCTGGATGCAGACAGTCCCATCAAAACGCCCGTGCTCCCGTGCTCTCAAGCCTTTTACCTCTCGCACTTCCAGCAGGTAAAGCTCTGCTCCTTGTTTGCAGAAACGTACTCAGCTTTTAGATTCGAGGATACGATGTATTTTGAGAACCAATTGGTTTTGTTGCAGTAGCATGTTAACAAGGCATTGCACATGATGTTTCATACGCAAAGACAATACAACGTGCTTTACAAACCAAAAAGAAAGCCGTAAACAAAGAAAAACAGCTCATAGGCAGAGCGACTCATAACTTTGTGATTTATAAAAACAGTTAAATAAAAATAACAGGACTGAATAAAACGAGAACGAATACAATTCAATTAAAGATCTTATGGAGGCTTTAACCCACAGTTGTCGGCAATAAATATATCTATCATCTATTTAATACACTATAAAATATACAGAATAATCTAGAATATACAAGAATGAACCAACCGACTACCAAGAGAATATAAACACACCATATATCACACAGGTTCAGTTACATATCTCATTATGATTGAACAAGGACCATGCCGAAAAATACATTTTTTTAACAATCAATAAAGTCTCAACCCGACATACAATTTACAGACGGGTTAAAATACAGATCTATAAAAGATATACAAGCTGTGTTTACTTTTGAAGGTATTGATAGTATTCCATGTAACGTGAACCGTATAGAAACATCATTGTTTTCCGTAAGAAGGTTCTTTTAATCCCGTCTCCCCCTCTCCCTTTCTTGACCTTGCCCCTTTGTTGTTTCTCCAGTCCTACAGAGTTAGTTCGTCTCCTCGTGGCTTGGCGCTGGTGATAAGCAATGTGACCTTTGACCCCTGCGCTGCGCCTGATCTTGACACGAGGAAGGGAGGAGAGGTGGACGACGATGTCCTGAGGAAGGTCTTCACAGAGCTGGACTACAAGGTCACCGTCCACAGAGACCTCACCGCTCAGGTAACACACACACACAGATATATATATACACACACACACACACTCTCTCACACACACACACACACACACAGATATATATATATATATACACACACACACACTCTCTCTCACACTATCTCTCTCACACTCTCTCTCTCACACACACACACACACACACACACACACAGACATATATATATGCACACACACTCTCTCTCTCACACTCTCTCTGTCTCTCACACACACACAGATATATATACACACACACACACACATACACTCTCTCTCTCTCTCTCACACACTCTCTCTCTCACACACACACTCTCTCTCTCTCTGTCACACTCGCTCTCTCTCTCTTACACTCTCTCTGTCTCTCACACACACACACACACACATACACACACACACACACACACACTCTCTCTCTCTGTCTCTCACACACACACTCACACTGAAGCAAACTCAATGTGTATTTACGGTAGGGCTGTGCAATTAATCGTATTTTAATTACGATTATGGCTTGCGACGATTATGAAAACAGCATAATTGACAAAATATGATTATTTTGCTGGGTGCGCTTTCGCCCCTCCCTAAAAGCCCACTCGGCCACGTGGGAGTGACATGTGTTGTGAGTGTTCAGCGCGAGCGAAGATGTCAGAACAAGAGCAGCAACTCGTTAAAAAGAAGGGTCAAACTATTTCCACTATTTGGAAGTACTTTGGCTTTCAGGAGTCCGACGTGGAGCAAAACAAAGTACAGTGCAGGATTTGTTACCAGGTTGTGTTGGCACCACACGCTAACACAACCAATCTCTTTAATCATCTGAAATACAACCACAAAGTGCAATACGACCGGGCAGTAATACAACAAAAAGCAGATGCCGCTCGACTTCATCCACCACATCATCACAGTCATCGATTCAGGACGCATTGTACAGAGCGACGGCCTACGCGACGAGCTCGCAGAGACACAGAGATATTACAGGTGCCATTACATTTCACATCGCTAAAGATATGTGCCCAGTTAGCACTGTTAGCAACCAGGGCTTTAAGCAACTTGTCAACACGTTGGACAAGCATTACGCGATGCCGTCTCGGTATTATTTCATTCGGTATTATGTGACAAATGCCGTGGGGAAGTTGAGAGAGATGTGGCTTCAGCTGACTACTTTGCCACCACAACAGACCTATGGTCTAGCCCAGGGGTGCCCAACCAGTCGATCGCGAGATGTGTCTAAAAATAGAACAACAATATTCTGTTTTATCGTTAATGTCCTGTAACATAATCTTCCTGTGCCAGAATAATGCACTTGAACGCATCAAAGCTTTGTGATTGGCCGGCGTCACCCCATGTGTCGGGGCGTGGCTGAGGGTCTTCAGTACAGGTGGCAATATCGTCACCTGCCTGCGCTCATCTCTGAAACCAGACCATGTAAACAGGCTGGTGTTTCTTGCAAAACATCTTTAAGAGATGACATGAGCAGCCCTACTAGCATTTGCCATGGTGGCCTAAACATTTTTATTTGGTCTTAAATTGTAGTTCAACATTTATTTCCTGTTACTTCTGGACCATGACGGTTGGCCAGCCTTCAACATTTAACTGAGTGGAATATGTTGAATATGTTTTACCAAAATGTTGGCTATATGTTAAGGAGTTTTCAGTAGGTTGTGACAGTGCACTGCATCATATTTGATTTCATTTATTTTGGTCTAATTTATTTTTATGTATCATATTAATAATATATGTTTAGTATGGTTTTGGAAGTGCGCTCCAACATATTTGTTGATCTTGTTTATTGGTAAAATATTATTTGTTTTAAAGTTCAATAAATGGTCAATGAATAATCGTCAAAATAATCGTGATATCAATTATTGACCCAAATAATCGTGATTATGATTTTTGCCATAATCGCACAGCCCTAATTTACGGGATGTGATTTCAAACAGAAAACCATTCTGGTTATTTACTGGCCAACGCTTGAAAAGGGAAGTTGTAAAAGGGAGAGGAAAAACATTCTGACCTTGAATCATTTTGAGAGCGTCGGCGTTGGTGGAAAGAGTCTGCTTTGGTTCCCATTTGCAGCGTGGCGGTGTTACCACAAAGCCAACACACTTTACAATCTAGTGTGTTTCTTATCTCTTGTTAATGATGTCACCTTCAAACCCAGGAGCGTCTACTGTATGTAACGGCAGATCGTAAAGCAGACCGATAGGTGAGCCACAGCTAAACCTGGAGACTCTGTGCCTCAGGCAGTTATCCAGCTCCATATTAGACCATGACTCCCACCCTCTGCACTCAGAATTCAAGCTTCTTCCTTCGGGCCGGGGGTTAGTCGTCCCAAAGAGTAGAACGAAGCGGTCCCAGCAGCTATTGTACAAATGAACACATCATTGGAGTGTCACACGGATTTTTATTTATTTATTTACTTATGAATTTTGAATGTCCATGTTTGTACTAGTGTCTTCCTTCTTAAAATGTTTTTGAAATATTTTGAGATTTGGTTGAGCAGGGTGTACTTAGTGTCAGGATGGATCTGCAAACTAAATCTACCTACTGGTAGGGCTGCTCGATTATGGCAAAAATCATAATCTCGATTATTTGGGTCAATAATTGATATCACGATTATTAAAAACGATTATCCATTTACTTTGTAAACATCCATTTATTGAAAAAAATTGTGAACAGTATGTTTTTAACAGTTGATTACCCTGAACTTTAAATATAATTCAACTGAAAAACCAATTAAAAAAAAAAAAAGTAAAATAAAATAAAAAAATAATCGTTTTATTCCGATTACATTTTCATAATCGTTGCAAGCCAAAATCGTAATTGCGATTAAAATACGATTAATTGAGCAGCCCTACCTACGGTAAAGAACCTGAACCTGAGGGCTGCATGATTTGGCAAAAACAACCAATTGTAATTCTTTTTTTTCCATTTGCAACAGCAATACAAATGTGTATATGAGTGATTATTGAAAACCACATTCACAACATCATTGAAATGTATTTTTAAAATTATGATTTTTGATTTGATTTTAAGAGGATCTGTACCAAACACCAATCCGAATTGTAGTCTGGGCTTTCTCTGCAGCTCCACAAAATAACACTCGGATATTTTAACATATCTTACCTTTACCAAAATGTTTACTTTTAATACTATATTCGTCCATTTTGCGATTTCAATATGATTCTGATGGAGTGCAGCCCTTATTTACCAACCTGTATTTGTATTTAAACTGAAATAATACGTGTTAAATCCCTTCTTCTTTGTGCAGGACATGAGGACGTGCATTGAGAGCTTCACCCGGCGGCCGGACCACCATTCGGGGGACAGCAGCGTTGTGTGTCTGCTCTCACACGGGGTGGAGGGGGCGATATACGGTACAGACGGACAACTCCTACAGGTGAGTGTGGAGGAAATTCTTAAGAGAAACTGATAAATGATTCATGGACAAAGTTTGTCTTTTGTTATGTTTAATAAAGTAATAAAGAAAGTCAAAGTGACATCGATCTCAAATGCAGGAACAGAGCTACTTCCTCCTCAGGACAGAGAAGTTCTGCACCCAGAACACAGCTCACAGTCACACTATATAGTCGAGAGAAAAGCCAACTGGTCCCACCCTTAAAGTCTCTTAGGCCCCGGCCACACAAGGACGAAAACGGTCGTTTGCGTTACTGTTTAGTGTCATATAGACCATTCGGCCACACGAGGACGACCGAATACGGCACTAAACGACTGCAGAAACGATAACGGGTCCCAAGGTGGATAGAACGGCATACGCAACGCTCTGGGGGGTCCAACGGCTCCGTGTGTACGCCCTATACGATCATTTTCTGATAATGATGAGGCAATAGCCCCGCCTCTCCCCACCTCTGCTGCTCACCCCCGCGTCAAAGTAATCATAACTGCACACTGAATTCAGATTATTTATCTTTCTCTCGATATGGACATAAACGCGAGCGAAGTCTAATCTGACAGGACGGAGACACCTCTCAAACTACCTAAACTAGTTATAAATATTTTTATTTTTACAGTCGGCCGGGTCACTCATTACTGGATCAGCTGCTGCATGAGACAGACACTGGCGCTGTCCAAAGAGAGGGAGGAAAAAGAGAGGCTCCGTGTATTTTTATTATTATATTATATAGAGTCATTATTCATTTGTTTTAAAGCTCAATAAATAACAAAGAAGACCTTTGACCGGCACTTTTATAATTTTGTCGGAAGGTTTAAACTTTAATTCACGTTGACTGGCGAAAAACTCTGCCCGGTTCCCTCGGCCCCCACCGCGGAGAATAAACAGAAGGGCAACCATGACAACCATGCTTCTTCGCTGCTTTTGTGGAGGAAGTTACAGCGCCACGTACAGGCTCCTGCATATGTACTGCAGCTTCTCCAGCGGTTGGAGCTAAACGGAGCGGTCTCGTGTGGACAGACACTATCCGGATAACTATTGCGTGTGGACGGAAGCTTGTTTGCGTTTGCGTTAATCCTATGCGTTTAGCCGTTTTCGTCCTCGTGTGGCCGGGGCCTTAGGCATCATCTAAACATCCCCACCATTAAACCATAAAACCCCCTCGTCCTTAACCATTTGCAAATCCCCCTTTCACACTTCCTTTGCCCTCCTGTAAACCCTCAACATATGTCTCTGTTAAACACATACAAGACTAACAATACAATTTAACAGAGTAAAAGGCAATCGGAGTACAACGCTACATGTTTTAAACGATGATATGATAATTTGACACCACAGTGAGTTCCTTAGTTTATGTATGCAATGTTTTGTTGTGCTTACTGTTGTCAGATATTTAATTGTGTCCCTTGTTGACTTTCAGCTGGACTGGGTGTTTGAGTCCTTTGACAACGCGCACTGTCCGCTGCTACAGAACAAACCCAAGATGTTTTTTATTCAGGCCTGCAGAGGAGGTAAGGCTCTTATTATGATACGGTACACCCTCTATATCGTCATTCATTATTGACATACAATCGAATATATGTCACGATATATAGTTAAACTTATATGGAAGGGCCAGGGTGTCACTCAGTTCTTCAAAAACACCTGCACTACTTCAAAATCGCTTCAGCATCAACATCGCAATGTTCAGTCTCAAAAGACACCTCGCAGGGTGTGAAATAAAGCATATTAACCCATACATGTCACGATGAAGCGTTTTGCTGCGATGGAAAACATGTTCAGTGACTCACTTATAGAGGGGTCTGTCTGACTGAACATCATTTACTACAAGTTAAGGCTTCTTGCATTCACAGTTTGTTTCTAGTGAGTGAAATGTGCTGCACATTGAACTACACATTGTAATCATCAGTGATACGTTTTAACAAACGATCAAAGCCAGTGCCGCTAGTCCTCAAACGTAAAGTGAGAGCTTCGATGATCACAAAAAACACCCAAAAAGGAAGATTTGGTAGCAACAAATATCAGTTTCATGGAAATACAAGAAGGATTTTGACTAAAAACGGATACTTTGTCCTCATTTGGGGAACATTCCTGTAATAGTTATTGCATTAAACATAAATTGGAATCTAAGTTATTTCCAATATGGTGCAGCCTTACGGAGCGTCCACACAGCGGCGTGCGTTGACGCTTGGCGGTGGGCGTGTCTGAAGCTTGGGGATTTTTCGCGACCAACAACCAATCGCATGAATGATTCATGTTCCATTCCATTTTTTTGAATATGAGGAAATGACCTGCGTAGTCTCTCCCAGCATACACGCGGTTTGATTGGCTAGCGCTTGTACTGGCAGATTTGCATAAACGGGATTTCATTGGCTGACGCTTCTGCCGAGGCGCCAAAAGTTGAACATTGCTCAACTTTTGAAGCGAGCAACGCCAGCAACGCTCCACGTCGCTTCCCAAAATACAGTTCGGCTAAAAGTGACTTCACCGCATTCAAAGTGAATGGGCAGAAGCGTTGGAAGCTTCAACGCACGCCGCTGTGTGGACGGGCCGGTACACGTTGCACTAATCTATGAACCGAATGAGAAGTCCTTTATTCATCCCATAGTGGGGAAATGGACCTTGCTAAAGGAAAGGGACGGTGCAGATAAAAGACAAATACAAGAGTAGTGGATATTAAATAAAAACACACATTAGATGGCGCTGTTTTGTCTTGTGCGTTCATTCAGTTTTTACACATATGTTTAAATATTGTTAATTTGTTATAATTGATGTAGTTTAGCGACGTATTGTTCTTTCTGTGTCTTTGTATGCACCACATATATCAAAGCAAATTCCTCGTACGTAAACCGAAACAATGAAGCACATGTTAATAAAAGAAAATCAATGAAGTAAAGATATGGATAATGGCGTATGTTAAGGCAACGTCTATCAGATTGGTTAGACCCCCTGCAATATAATCAGACGTTGTGCTGTCAGTGAGAGGACAGTTTCCAGGCTGTCCCTCAGCATGTCCAGATGTTGTCTCCTGTCGCCCTCCTGACCTCTGGGACGCACACATCTGTCCATCATCCACACATCTCCAGATGCTGAGCACAGTGTCCCAACACGTCATAGATGTAGTCTTCAATAAATCGCAGGACAATAGCCAAGTCAAAGTCAACTTTATTGTCAATCTCAAAATATATTTGTACACACAGAAAGATCAAAATACTGTTTCCTACAGTCCCGAGGTATAAAAAAAAACTCACACATTAAAATGCAAGAACACAAAAAGAAACAATAGCAGTGTGCTTGAAAAATATGTATATATATATATACAATCAACAGATACAATATGCACACATTAAGACCTAAATAAAAGCACAACAATCAATATATTATAATATATAATATATATCTGTAACAATAGCTCAAATAAAAAAGTTTTAGGTGAATAAAAAATGTTAATAAGTAAAAACGTTGTGTTCCAGAGGAGATGGACTGTGGCGTGGAGCAGATGGAAAATCTGTGTTTCTTTGAACAGCAATACAGATGATTAACATAGACATGAAATCAATCCGACTTACAATAATACAGACAGTTTAAGATGCAGATCTATAAAATATATACAAGTTGTGTTCACTTTTGAAGGTATTAACAGGACTCAAAGTAACGTTTACAAGCAAGGTGTCGAAAGGAGGTTATTTTAAACGATCTGATCCCTTCTTCCCCTTTCAGTGTAGGGGATTACTTCAGTCGTTGTTATTGGTATTTGGTAAATATAAATAAAGTAAATTGACATGCCAATCAGGGGCGGTTCTGGGGGGGGGCAACAGGGGCCAGTGCCCCCGTAACACTGACCAGGGACCCCCCTTAGCCCCCCTCCAAAAAAGTTACAATATTACGATTTGTTGGAACTAAATCCAATCAGAGACCTGGATGTACAGTGCAGATTAAACTGTTCAATACCTTTTTATAAAAGCAAATTAATTTAATTGTCACTTACATTTACTAAAACAAATACCTTTACAAAAACAAATACCAATTACTGTATTTTATGTTTATTTTAATTACTTTATAGTGTCTTTGTCTTTTTAACCCGCTTTTATTGTGCCCCTCTCATGAAATGACTGGCCGCAGCCCCCCCAGTAAAATTGGTCTAGAATCGCCACTGATGCCAACAACACCCATAAAATGGCTCCTACACCAAGTCTATAACAATAGCACAAATAAAAGGTTTTAGGTGAATTCAAAATGTTAAAAAGTAAGAATCTTGTGTTTCAGAGGAGATGGACTGTGGCGTGGAGCAGATTGACGGCCCGATAAGGACCTGCTCCCCCAGCTGTGAGCAGAGAGACGCTGGGAGGGAGGTGGATGCCTCCTCCAGGCAGAGGGGGGGGCTGGGGAGGATCAAACTGCCCCAGCGCTCTGACATGATCTGTGGCTACGCATCGCTTAAAGGTCAGAGCATTTGTAAGTCTGTCCCTTTTGATACTCTGGGCTGGATTCATAATAATAATAAAGCTTTATTTGTATACAGGGGGTCTTAAAAAGTATTAAAAGTTGATAAATCAATTTAGCGAACATTAAGGCTATTAAAAAGTATTAAACGGCATTTTCCAAGGTTTTACATTTTGTAGCTTGTTTTCAATAAGTCTATAAATGGTCCAAAGAGCTTGTGTTCTACAGTGTGCCTGAATGTAATCATGGCGTAGGTGTGTAGTGTGATTCTGTGTAGTTTATTTATGGCATCCCGTTGGATTTGACGTCATCTGAACAGGACATCGCACGCTCACTGCTTGATAGCGCGATGGTCCGTTTACGTTAAACAACATCGTTACGGGGAAATGCAAGTTTGCGTCCAAATGGTTGGAAGATAAGGAGGAAGGACAATCAATACTGTATATAGTCAATGTGAGGTGAAGTGTGTCGCCAAGGTAACCGGTTAGAACTCCAAGTGGCGATGAGGTCTTAAAATGTATGGAAAGGGTCTTAAAAAAGGTCTTCAAAGGTCTTACATTTGACTTCAGGATTCCTGCAGATACCCTGTATATACTGTAGCACTTTTACAACACATGTGCTTTACAAAATGACACAACAAGAAATTCCCCTCAGATTATTTGTTAAGAGCTTTTAAAGGTACACGCAGCAACATATAACATTTGATCAGGTTGATAGACACAAGGAGGTAAAATATTAAAAGATAATGATTTCTCTCCGACAGATAAGACACAAGACAACTGAGTCGATGCAACAATATACTGTTGTGTCATGACTCATGTCTGTGTTAGTCATCTGAGCTGCTGTTCAAAGAAACAGTGTTGTTATTTACTGAAGCAACATTTCAACCAGCAGTAACAAACCATCGTGTTGAATTTCTAGCAGTGAGGCGTGCAATCTGCACAGGTTCTGCTACAAAACGAAACATGAGAGGATATGGGTGTTTTATGGGGAACGCCACTGATTTTCTTTTAGTCATTAAAGTCTGTTTAAATGTCTTGTGGAGTCCTACTTGTTACAATAGCATGCTACCAAGTCATAACACATAAAGGAAATATCAATATGTAGATTTCACAATATAAAACAACCCATGAAAAATATAAACATGAGTTACTATTTACATGAAAAAAGTGTGCAAAGTTTTTTTTAATTCAATTTAAATATGGGAACAATATGTATAAAGCCTTTTGTGACTTCAAAGACGCACTAAGACTCATAAATCGTCTTGAGTCAGGTTAGGTACAGAAGAATATAGGAAGGGCTGGGCCGCTCTCTAGAGGTGAGGTATTACATTACATTGCATTTAGCTGACGCTTTTATCCAAAGCGACTTACAATAAGTACATTCGACCAGGAAGACACAACCTTGAAGAAAACATATATGAGGTATGTTGCCTCATAAATTAAGTCAAAGGTAGGGTAGGTAATTCACTTCAGAAACACTTTTTGTTATATTCCATGGAATGCTCTTAACATCCCGATAGCAATGAATACATTAAATGCTTTGACAATAAATACATTAAAATGTCATCTATGGTAGCCGTAGCGATGTAAAGAGCACGACCAATCATCTGAGCCGGCCCGGCTAAAGTAACTGGATGGCCTACCTGCCTGTCAGCCTTCCATCTGTGCACAAACTTATCTCGTGCCCTCATTGGTCATGTTCGTGTGTGTTGGAGGAGGGGCTCTGTGAGGAAGTCTGAAGGAAGGGGCAGATTGTTTTCGGCTGCGTACTCGAGCTGGTTTCTCCATTCTTACCTTTAAGCCCTCCAAAATATTTCATTTATTTTGTTACAGAAAGTGTTGGCAGCTCATTCGTTAAAACAGAAGCTTCAGATTGATTATAATAAGGGGGGAATATGAAGGGTACATTTCAATCTTGTTATACAAATAAGTTATTGGGCTTTTTTCTTATCAACTAAGATATGTTAGAAAATGTTTTCAACCTTAATTGACTGAATGTATTTGAACATTGGGCTTACTAACACATGAATACTACTGTGTAATATATGTTTAGATATATTTAAGAAGTACAATATAAGAGCACAAGTTTCATGTGTGGGCCATATTTAATTATACTTAGTCTGGACACCCCTGCCTTTGGTGAAGTCAACATCTCTAGGGGTTAAACACTTAAAGCTATAAAATGACTACTAAGAAGATTTGTGGAGTAAAACCTCAACTTTAAAAAAATCTGTACTTTGCGAGTCTGAAAGTGTTAGAGTAAGAACAAAGGAAATGTGTCACAATGGTTTTAGTTCATACACTTTCCCTTTATCTCTGCCTTCCTCTATTTCAGTCTAAGGGAGATTGAACTGTTGTTGAATAAGATGTTTTTTGACTTGTGTAAATCCCAGACCCCACCTTCGTCTCTCTGCGTCTCCTCTCGGTACATTAACCCTCTATCGTGTGATCTCTCCCCCCTGAAGGCACGGCAGCCATGAGGAACACGAAGAGAGGGTCGTGGTTCATTCAGGAGCTGAACTCCTCCCTGCGCCTCAACGCCAGAGACACTCACCTGGCAGACATCCTGGTGCAGGTGAGCAAACAGATCGCCTGCACTCACATATTTACATTTACATTGAACGTGTCATCGCATGAAATTCACAATGTCTAGTTATATCTTGAGTATATGTTTCTTAGTGCTTCCTTTTCTTATTATTGGTTTGTTTTTATTGATTTGTTGTCTACCGATTGGTTTGTTTTTCAGCGTTTTGTTATTTGTTTAAGTTATGTTTATCTTAAAACTATTTTATTAATGACCAGTAATTTGGAAATAATGACTTGGATGGGAGGATGGGAGGGTAGGTAGGTAGGTAGGTAGGTAGGTAGGTAGGTAGGTAGGTAGGTATAAAGATTGATAGGTAGGTAGGTATAAAGATTGATAGGTAGAAATATATATATAAAGACATTTCTACAGTAGAAGACCATTAACTTCATCCAGGTGATAATTCCCAGAATTGAACAATTACAAATGTGTGTTGTGAACAAATAACGATAATAAAAGCAATAATAAACTCAGACTAAATAAGTGTTTAATCTCCTACAACTTTAGTAATCCTGTATTTCTGATTTCTCCAGGTGAACGGGCATATTAAGGAGCGGGAGGGTTACGCCCCCGGCACCCGCCACCACCGCTGCAAAGAGATGTCGGAGTTCACCAGCTCTTTGTGCAAAAACCTCTATTTTTTCCCCAAGTACCACCCGCAGTATTGACATGCAAATAACCACAAAACAACACACACACACACACACACACACACACACACACACACACACGGAGCATTCCTAGCCACTACAGTTCATTCCACTCCAATTACTGCCACACACCCGCACATTCCTCTGTTATAACTTCATTTATATTCTCCGTGTAAATCCATACACTCTCGTTAAAAAAAACGGAAAGGGAAACAGAGCCAGCTTATGTTAATCCACATGTACTCGGAAATGTTCAATGTATGAGTACACAACTAACTCCTGTCTGTGTGTGTGTGTGTCTATGCCAGTTAGAGGGTTTAGTTGATAATCCTTTTTTAGTTTTGTATTCCTACTGCACAGCTACTTTGAGGAATCACTCTCTCTCCCTTTTGAAAAATGTATTTTCTACACAGGTCTATTTTTGTTGCTTTATTTTGTACGAGATAGTTTTTATAAGGATGTTTAAGCCCATCCTCTTTATTTGTATATAATGTTTTATTGTAATTTCGTGTTTTTCGCGTAGTGACAGGCAGGGGGCAGCACATCGACTCTTTTTCCATCAATGTTATCCCTTATGTTTAAACATGATCTTTGTTGTCATGATTCCAGCTTTTATTTTTCGGTTGAAATAGGCTGAAGTGATGATTTACCAGTTTCTTTGTGCAGCAGAAACAAATCTGTTCTCACATGTTTTCCCTTAAGAAGAGGGAAAACCAAACAGGGCAGCTTCAAAACAAGACCTTGAAATGTTTCATTTATTTTTACGCTTTTGTTTGACGACGTTCAACCAGAAAAAAATCTGCTTTTTAATCCTAAATGTCCCCCACTGTATATTTCAGCGATGTGTTACTGTAGATGTGTCAGGGTGGGGGCTGTGGTGCTACTTATGGGGTCTTCCTCCAACCGTGTGACCTTTACGCTGACTCCTAATAGTGTCTCTCCTTATGTGGGAGCTGCACTTGTTTTGACTGTAGCTCATACAGTACGGATGTATTAGTCTTCCATTAACAATATGCAGTTTTTCTACCGCAGCCTGTGCCATGTGACGACGACCTTTAAGACGAATGTATGACCGTGGAGCTTTCAGAGAATATTGAATATGTTTGACAATCCATTCCTGAAGGCTGTGTGAGCATTGATGTTTCCCAGGAAAGCCCGGAAGTGTGTGTTACAGCAGTGTTGTAGTAAAGGAAGAGTTGATATGGTCCAGGCAGTATTGAATGTTAATCATCTGTAAAGCTGTGTGTGAGGCGCTTGGGTTCAAGTTAACCCCGGTCTGGAAGGGGCTCACCTTTCTTATTTTTGTTTTCTGTAATAATCCAAACCCAAACATCCGAGTGGTGTAAGAGGTTTACTCTGCTGCAGGGGGAGACTGTTTGAAGGTGGATGTTTGCTGCCAAAGCTCTGCTGTCGGTCCAAGAGATTTTATTTCTGTCCAAACCAATGACTGCCAAATGTTCCACACAATAAACGGGCCAATGATTTATAAACAGTGGTGTGTTTTTTTACAGCTGCATGAGCATTTGATGCTACATTTAAGCTGAAATCCAGCTGTGTGAGTGTGAGGCACAGATGATAAAGACAACAGGAATCACAATAGAGGCGAAAATACCCAGAAACCCAGGATCTTATGCATCCACTGCCTTTTCCTTAAACCCCGCCTCCTCGTCATTACCTAACGACCAATCTCAGGGGGTGTTTCTCAATCGCGAGTAAAGCTGCTGCAGAGCCACTATTTCAAGCGTACTACGTCATCGAGTGCCGCCGAAGTACTGTTCCATTGTCCAGAATACTAGGAAAAATTTCGAGGCTGCACATGTGTAGACTTCGCGGTCTTAAAATCCCCACAATGCTTTGCGCACGGACCAATTTCCCCAAATCTGTGGCGGAAAATGTAAGACGGGGCCTCTCATATGACGCACAGTTGCTCGCCTGTTCCACTCTTTGTTTTCCGAATGCCAGGAAGGATTCTTGCCTCACTTCTGAAGCAAAATGCTCGACAGACATGTGCTACCAAGCAAGTGTACTCGCGGTGTTTCTCAATCGCGAGTAAAGCTGCTCCAGAGCCACTATTTCAAGCATGCTACATCATCGAGTGCCACCAAAGTACTGTTCCAATGTCCAGCATACTTGGAATTCTACCGAGCCCGCCATACTTCGTAGCGAGACATTTTGAGGCTCATCATGTGTAGACTCCGCGGTCTTAAAATCCCCACAATACTTTGCGCACGGACTCATTTCCCCAAATCTGTGGCGGAAAATGTAAGGCGGGGCCTCTCATATGACGCACACTTGCTCGCCTGTTCCACTCTTTGTTTTCCGAATGCCAGGAACTTGCCTCGCTTCTGAAGCAAGTGACTCGGAAGACATGTGCTACCAAGCAAGCATACTCGACATTGAGAAACACCCTCAGTTTAGTGAAATACCATAGAGCGGTGCAGTGAGGACGCACTTTTGTTGGCCGACCCGGAAGTGAGCATCGCAAGGGGTCCCTTGACAAAAAGCCAATAGGATTTTACCATTAGTTTTCGGAATCTTGCAGGAAATAAACTTGTTTAGAAAACGTTCACATTTGTTCAGCAGCATAATCTCTACATATTAACACCAATTTATGATTTTTTTTAAAGCGTAAATGGCAGATAATGTTTGGTGTGATGACGTTAGGCCGTCTCATTTAGTCACTTGCTGTATTTAAGACATGTAAAAAGCCTCAGACTGATGTGTCTTATGTCGTAAAACTAAATGAGAAAATCTCGTAAGCTTGTGCTAACCACAGATTTTATTTCATGCTGCTAGTACCCACAAAAAAAAACCTTGACTTTTAGAACAGGTAAAATGCTAACATATTTCTGGGTTTTAGGACTCATTCCTGCACCACTCTATGGAGAAGGGAACATACATCTGAATACAATGTCTCTTTTCCAATGTAAGTCAATCGTAAAAAGTATTTTTGGGCTCAAATGGAGTCACATCGCTGACACAGAAGAGTCGGCCTCTACGAAACCTTGCTTCTCTGCGCGGGTCCCTTCCTGGGGGCTCGTTGTGATGTGTATATGAATTCCCTCACGTGCTTGTTGCTGTGTTTGTGTGTGTTGCCCTCTCTGATCTCAGGTGTAGAATAACCCGCTCGCCTCCATTCTGCTGCGCTCAGGTCTCTCCGTGTTTTCACTGGGAACGCTCACAGTGATAATATCCTGAGTGTATCAGATAGAGGCCCGGCCAGCTGTCCACAGTCATTCTACCCTGACACACACACACACACACACACACACACACACACACACACACACACACACACACACACACACACACACACACACACAGAGTCAGAGTAACACATTTCTCGCTGGCCTCCGTGTAGCTGTGAGATTAGGCTGTTATGCGCTGGCGTGTGGAAGCACAAAGAGGGGCTGTGTGTGTGTGTGTGTGTGTGTGTGTGTGTGTGTGTGTGTGTGTGTGTGTGTGTGTGTGTGTGTGTGTGTGTGTGGTGTGTGTGTGTGTGTGTGTGTGTGTGTGTGTGGTGTGTGTGGTGTGTGTGTGTGTGTGTGTGTGTGTGTGTGTGTGTGTGTGTGTGTGTGTGTGTGTGTGTGTGTGTGTGTGTTGTGTGTGTGTGTGTGTGTGTGTGTGTGTGTGTGTGTGTGTGTGTGTGTGTGTGTGTGTGTGTGTGTGTGTGTGTGTGTAGTGTGTGTGTGTGGTGTGTGTGTGGTGTGTGTGTGTGTGTGTGTGTGTGTGTGTGTGTGTGTGTGTGTGTTGAATGGCCGCCAGGCTCATCGGCCTGAGAGGGAAACCGGAGGACGAGTTTAGATGAACTTGTCAGTGGGATGTTGTCTCAGCCCTGATTGGCTTGTGGCTTTTCCAGCTTGTAGTGATGAGGTGCAGCACATACAAGGGGCTTCATACACTTGGTTGATTATTGGATAATTGGCTTTTTTGGTTTTAGTCAATTAACATTTGATCAATCAGAATAATTAGGTTTTGTTGCTCCAATTTTTTAATAATATAGAAATATGTGTATTGACATAAAACTTACAAATATGCACATTGCACTACAGGTATTGACAACAGTAAATATGCAAAATGTGCCTAGTATAATATATAACTTACTTTATTAAAACTTTACAATTAACAGTAAAAATATACATATCAGCAGTGGAAAGATATATTGTATATCATTCCAAGATATATGCAGAATAAGTTAGAATACATTAAATAATAATAAATTATATTTATATAGCGCTTTTCTCGAACCCAAAGACGCTTAAATAGACCAACATATACATTATAGAATGTGCAAAGTACTTGCAATGAGGAAGTGTTAGTAAAAATATTGCTCACTTGTTCAGGCTTACTAAAAGGGATAAACAATGTGTAGTACAGTTAAAGAAACCAAAGCGTTGATTACCCTACAAGCCGGAGTAAGAATATTTTTTAAAACAAGACCTAAAGTGCTGCAATAAATACAACTGAAAATGTGTTTACTTAAATAAATACAGTGGTGTATTAATATCCAAACAGATATTAATTGATATATTAGTCGATTAGTAATGTAATCATGCGTTTTAAAGCTCTATGACCTACACTACAGTATGTCGGTGAAACGTATGAGCATTCCTCTGGGAAACACAGGATATAAAGTGCAGGTGCTTCTGCATGTTTCTTTTTGTAGTTTTACAGAAGTGTCTTTGAAGCCAACTCAACAGATCCGTCTGCATGTGAGTCGACTCAGAGGTACGGCCTTCACATGGCGTAGCGCCCATCCTGTAGCTGCTGCAGAGGTTAGGCAACACAGAGATCACTTTACGGAGCTCTGCAGGGGGTCCTGGAGCACTTTGGGCTGTGTTTCACTGAGGGGGGATTTATTCAAGGTGCAAGGCTTTTATTGGTCATGCGTGCACAGTGTAGATGTATCAATGGGAATCTTAACTCACAGGCTCCTCCAACAGTGCAACACAATACAAATAGAATATAAATACTGCAAGAAGAGTCTATATACAAGTAATTTGTGAGTTGCAAACAGATGAATGTTATGGATGTTCTTTCAAAAGTGCAGGTGTTTGTCTGATGGTCTGTGGGATGGCATTCTGTCTCCTCTAAAGAGAGCTACTGTAGCATGTGAGTGTTTTGGGAATTACCATGCATCATTGGCTGATTAGGTGTGTGCTGTCACAGGGGGGGGGGGGGGTCGTGTGCACCTTCCTGCTCACGTTGCAGGGGCAGCCCTATGGGGGGTGCCCTGTCCAAACAAGAGCAGTCCATCCCACACACACACACACACCTAATGACCGGCTGGCAGGGAGGGTGCTGCTCAGGGCAACAAGTTGTGTGTGTGTGTGTGTGTGTGTTATTAGGTGTCTGCAGTTCTAATAAAGGAAAGCTCTGCGTCCTTCACTGCCTCGTCAGATGGCTTTGCTGTGCTGTGTCCGCCAGTGTGAGTTCTGACCGTGTGTGTGTCTGTCACTGTCAGTGTGATTTCTGACCGTGTCTGTCAGTGTGATTTCTGACCGTGTGTGTGTGTCCGTCAGTCTGCAGTGGATGGCTCGCAGCCTCTGGATCACCTGGAGTCTTTGGGAAGGACGCCATCTGAGTTTTTTGGACTTTCTCCAGTTGAGAATGAGTTTATGGGAGAGTGAGAAACTTTAGAAGATGTTTATTTGACTTGGTGTAAAGTGTGTGAGTGTGTGGGTATAAGTATATAGATATAGGAGAAAGAGAGAGTGTCATTGGAAATGCTGGGGTGTCCAGCAAGGTTATTTTTGGACCAGTGACAGCGTGTCAATGGCTGCAGATGCGTCGCAAAGGAAGGCTCTGAGATACCAGCAGACCCTGGTAAGTCTTTCCTAAATCTTCCTGTACCTGTTGGCTTGTTTTAAAATGTACTTTCTTCCCCTCTTATGTCAAGCCTTTCCACCTGCTTCTCCCCATCTTTCCATCTCCCAACCTGTCACTTCTTACCATCCCTTCAATGCTGCTCTTGTCTTTCCTCCCCTTTCCTTTCAAAACTTTTCTTCCACTTGACTTTTGTTTTTGTCTGCATGCTGCATCCTTTTTCTTCTAGCAGCATTGCTGTTTTACTTTCACTCTACTCAATGCATACACTCCTCTTTGAAATCAATACATCTCCACCATCTTCCTCCTCTTATACAATCTGCAACTTAATGTCAAGTTCATCTGAGCAGCCTTCAAACACATGTGCACCCTCCCACGCTATGACAGTGATAAACCCTCATCTCTGCAGGACTCAGCAATCCCCGGATGATATACGTCTCTCTGTGAGACCCTGTCTATCCTCTTCCATCTGTACGCCTCCTCCTCGAGCTGCAGCCTTGTAAAGTCATCGCTGTTTTTCATGTGTTGGTGGATATAAATACCGATATACAGGAAACCTGAGCAGACAGGTTAGATGTACGTGTTGAAGTGAAGTCATGTCACTATATCCCCCGCTTCATCTGTTTAAATGCTCACCCAGACTGACGGCCATTCCTCCCAGGAG